GTATTGGGTGGTGTATTGGGTGGTGTATTGGGTGGTATATTGGGTGGTGTATTGGGTGGTATATTGGGTGGTATATTGGCTGTTGTATTGGTTGATATATTGGTTGATATATTGGGTGGTATATTGGGTGGTATATTGGGTGGTGTATTGGGTGGTGTAGTGGGTGTTTACTGGGTGGTTTACAGGGTGGTTTATTGGATGGTATGTTTGATGCAATATATGTTGTAATATTGGCTGGTGTACTGGCTGTTGTATTGGTTGGTATATTGGTTGATATATTGGTTGATATATTGGTTGGTATATTGGGTGGTGTATTGGGTGGTATATTGGTTGATATATTGGTTGGTATATTGGGTGGTATATTGGTTGGTATATTGGGTGGTATATTGGTTGATATATTGGTTGATATATTGGGTGGTGTATTGGGTGGTATATTGGGTGGTGTATTGGGTGGTATGCCTTTCGCAATCTTCTTGCATTAATTTGTTTTGGCATTTCCTCCTTCATTTCATCGATTCCGCCGCTTTTCTGATTCGACCCCCTTTCCTGTGTCATTGCCCGTCGCTGTCTCTGCCAGCTTTTTCAGCTCATAGCTTCTACCCGATCATGTCATTTATGATATTTGAAACTGAGCATTTTCATCACGTTTTGTCCTCAAGCATTGTGTCTTCAAGATTCAGAAGGCAAAGACAAATGCACGTCTTGCCGCCTTGTCAAATGAACCATGTCGCGGGTGATGTAATATTGGCTGGAATATTGGCTGGAATATTGGCTGGTATATTGGCTGGTATATTGGCTGGTGTTTTGGCGCGTTTATTACGCGGTATATTGAGTGGTTTATTGGGTGGTCTACTGGGTGGCATATTAGCCACTGCTTACCTTTTATCATGTTTCGCTTGCCAACCAACATATGGCAAATTGTCCGATATATTTGGAAAAAAAATCATCCTTGTAATTTGCTGTTTTTGTTTTCAGTAGGTTGTTGCATCTGCGTCACCGACTCGCTTTTGCTTCTAGTCATTGGACGGTGTGTCACATTTTTACTGGTATATATGTTGTAATATTGGCTATTGTTTTTGCTGGTTTTATCGGGTGGTAGTTTTGCTGGTTTAGTGGGTGGTCTAGTGGGTGGTGTAGTGGGTGGTTCAGTGGGGGGTATATTAAGTGGTATGTTTGATGTAATATTGACTGGAATATTGGCTGGCTTTTTGGCTGGTTTATTGTCTGGTATGTTTGATACAATATTGGTTGGTATATTGGATGGTATTTTGGCTGGTGTTTTGGCCGGTAATTTTTTGAGGCTTTCTTATATAGTGTCCAGTTGTCAGAATTGTCTTGCAATTCCTGTCGCGTTTTACGTGGAATTTCCGTCCACTCGTTTATTTTTGTTCGATACGTAGTCATCCATCTAAATCTTTCCAATACTTTAGCGTTATCGTATATTTCGACCAGGCCATGGAACAAGAGAGTCTCTTGCAATGCATATAAAAAGCCATCAGCGCTTTATTCGTGCTGTGGTAAAGCTCTGCTGTAATGGTGTGCTATAATTCCTCTATTGTGCGGTTCTGCACAATGGCTTTACTTTGGGCCGGAATGCGGCTTCTCCGACAAAAATGTAACAGGTCCCATTACCTAGCAGTATGGTACTAAGGTGCTATGTTGTGGGCTATAAGGGGTGGTGGATCTATAGGGTGGCGTCTCTATTAGGCGCCTTAAACTTTACTTCTCGGACAAGGTTTCAAACTCGGTTTTTTAGATCACAGTGGTGGATTACAGTGCTATTTTGTCGTGATATAATGAAGTAGTATCCCTCTGTCCTATATACCAGGCTACATCAGGTTCCATATACCAGGAAGTCTTTAAATGTCATGAGGTGCATGCAAAAATTCAATTAGCTGGCCTGCTACAGCCCAGGATAATGTACTACGGTGGCTGAATATGCTAATCGAGGCATTTCCTCATCTTGGCTCTCTATTTTGCAGCTCTGCTTGGACTATTATGGTAGGATGCTAGCATGACGCATAGTCCCGTGACAGATTATCTCTAGTTTGGAGTCTTTTATTGCGTTGATTGCGATACTTCCGGTGGTCAAAGAAATCAGAATGCTCAAAGAGTTTGTGGCAGCTTACCAGTCAAAGATAGCCACGGTTCATTGTCACTTACAGAAATAAATTAGTCGTCTTTGTATTAGGTAGGTGTGGTTGGGGTCTTGGGATTGGATCCTCTGGCGCAGATCTTGGTAGCAGCAAACACTCAAATTAGAATTCTGAAAACTCGAGTGTGCAATTTTATCATTCAGCAAATGAGCTTACTCGACTTTTCCAAAACTCCCACCTGATTCATACTTACCTGTAAAGGTCGTTCACTGTCAAACTGTTATATGGATCTGCACAGCGACGTAACTGAATGTAGAGGAATTGGCGTAGGCTCTCGAAGAAGTCTAAATTCGGGCGCGATGTTGATGCTATACTGAAGGGGTGCCTCAGGTAAATTAGGCCTCCACACTAAAATATTATCTGCGTACAGAATTGCGGTGGGACTCGTCTATGATGTCCCATGCATGACATTTCGGGTGTTTCACCTGATAGTTTTTGCTTGAGATCAAATATTGAACGATGTTACACTGTTTTCTTTTGTCTACACGAGTATCAAGTATGTGTTTTTTTTTTTATGAAATAGATGATTAACAATAGTTTAACTCGTACAAGGCTGACTAGAATTACTATGCTATCACTTGTATAGTATCAGATAGGTGCCTCTGGGTACAAGGATCGCTCAATAAAATCTAATCACCTAGATCAGCCGGTGCCTCTAGGTTGGCATTACTAATGCTTGATATTTGAATTTGAATCAATCATTTGTTATTTGATTTGTTTTGCTGACATGCTTCTGGCTCACCATATTATCGTATAGACAAACGCAAGCATTTAAACTGTTTGTTCAGTTCAGAAGAGAACAATGTTTCCGTAAATTCCAGTGTTTTTCTACCTTCCCCCCAAATATATATTGTCTAACATATGTGACTCCCCGTGCCAGTTGTGACTTGTAAACTTCTTTTATGGTGCTGTAGAGTAGCTGAAAGCTGTCGTACGGTAGTATGACGCCCTTCCATTGTACTCTTACAGTTTCATTGTAACTTGGTTGCGAATTACTTACACCATTCATAATCCAGCATATCCAGATTTTTCGACGTCACATGCTAATTTTCTTGAAAAAACAAGCTTATGAAAAATGACAGTATTCCGAAACATGAAAATTCTAGAACTCAATCCAAGTATCTTAACTTTTAGAATTTTTTTTCCAAAACTGTTGTTTACAACGCTATGGTCTGTAAAATTTCGATAATCGTCCTCTCTTCAAAGATTTTTGAGATGTCAATTATTGTTGTGACACAACTCCTTTCTGGTATCACGAAAGCTTGCATCGTGATACAAAAGATTACAGCGCCATAACCTCGCAAATGGTGTCTCCCACAACACTACTCAATGTGGTCTATGCATCTTTACTAACTTTGATTGTCCATCTATTTACTCAGCATGTATCCCATTTGCCTGATTACATAGGGCAACTGATATTTCAACAGGGATTTCATGCTAAACTTTTGTTGATATCGTAATCAATTTTCATTGACTTCGTAATCAGTCTTCATTGACTTCATAATCGATTGCAAACTTTCTGAAATCAAATTTGTGTGTTTCAGCATATCCGCGATCTGGGATGCCAAGACATCCGCCGATTGTTGCAATACATCCGTCAATTGTTGCAATACATCAAGATTTTGCCTCAATTCACCATTTTCTGCCTTTAATGATTCATTTGTATTTCGAATAAGTCTCTCACTCTGATGCGCGAAAAGAGTAGTCAATGACTCATTAATTTCACTTCTCATGTAGCTTTCTATGATTCTTGGTAAGTTGTTTCTGAGATTCCGAGTATCAGTTTCAAGTGTTCTGGCACAATTCCAAAATCTTTCTTCAAGAAACTTAGTAGCGTTCCATAGATTACTGTTGAGTACATCCATCCCCATTTTTATCACATTTATGTTCAGTTGAATGACTGGAGCAAGGACATCAACAACATCTTGCGTTTCCTTGGTACCACTGAACATCGAGCTGTGTGCCACATTACACTTTACTTTTTCTTTGAACTCAGTAAAAAGAGGGTGTTTTGTGATTGGATTAGTCGAATAGATACAGCTAGGGGACAAATCCACTAATAGGGCCAAATCTTGAAGAATAATTGACCTGAATTTGCGGAGCATCTCAAGAAAATTTGGTGCTGCATCGTCTCTGTCATTGAGACAGAGGTCCTCTTCGTCAGTTCTGCTATTCACTCGTGCAGCGACTTCTTCAAGCCACGGGAAAACCATTTTTTGGAGCTCTTCTGGAACATCAATGTCTCTAGAGATATAGTAAGGTTCTTCGGACTGGAATCCACCAGAGAAATGTATGGAGTCAAAGGCATAAGCTGACATGTACAGACTTTGAAGTACATCAAGAGTCCGCCAAACAGCACGTTTAATTTGAGCTTCCTCAACCCGATGGGAGTCAGCAATCATAGAGTTTGCATTCTTTTCAAGAGGTGACCTAATCAGGTACTGAGAAGTGGTACTATCAAGAGAGTACGTTCCTAACGTACGCATGTAACCAGAAATGACAGGTTTGAGGATTTTTGTCCCAGAGCTGCGAGCAAAAAGAACTTTGAGATCATACCAACTTCTCTTATCCATAAAGTCGGTGCATTTTCACCAGTGAAAGGCCCAAATTGAGAATTAAAATCGAACCGGTACCAAAGTGACAATGCAAATGCTGAGATCAAGAAAATTTCAACATCCTTATTGCGGCACACCCCCAGGAGCCCTGGCTCACTATTTGCGAATAAAGTTTTTGCTTTGACGAGCTTAAACCCCAAAATAGGAACAACACCACGAGATGTCTCTTCATCGTTGTAGACTGCATCCGAAAGCTCGACTGCGCTTTTATTCTGCCCACGAAGCAACAAATGATGTCCCAACAAAAACTCTAGAGTTGAGTTAATACTCTCATGGATGTCTTTCTTTGTACCAGTCTTGGTCTTTTCAAGCATATTTATCATCATTTCCTTACAATCTGCTACTGTATACTTCTTTTGAAACATTCCTGCTCTGTTTTTGTTTAAGTACCTCAGC